GTGCTGAGAGTTGCAGACACACTGATTCTAACATATTAAATCAGAGGAGCAAATATTCTGAGAATATTGCTTCTGAGGAGCTCATTGTTATCATGTCTTTGTACAACATTTTCTAAAACAATGTTCAATTATGCTATTTTCTCCTGTAGGTCATTACATGTATGTGGATTCTCTCTACGTCAAGCACTTTCAGGAAGTAGCTCAACTGGTTTCACCTAAGACACTAACTCCAATGTCAGGCTGTTTATCTTTTTATTATCAAGTACAGCAGGAAAGTGGCATTGTTTTTACTATTTATACAAGAGATGTAAATGGCTTTTATGAGGAGCTTTGGAAAGCAGATAGACCAACGAGTAATGATTGGCTGTTAGGTGAAGTTGACTTCAGTGCCCCATATCCAATGGAGGTAAGGGTATAAAAATAACAGGCCTGTATCTTTGCATATTACAGCTAGTTCTTGACTTCTGGCCACAATTGAACTCAGAATTATGGTCATAAGTTGTTGCTGCCGTTAAGCAAGATTCCCCTGAAGAGTGGGAAAGGCCCTGGGTTGCTGAACAAATGGACATAAATCTAGGACTATGTATAGAATTTGTAACGTTATACTAAACTAGAGCGTCCTTTTAATATAGTAGGGGGTTAACATTATTTTATTTATTTTAAGAACGACATGGAGTAATGATTTTTCTCATTATAAATTATTTCCTTTAATTATACTCCTTTGAGGATTCTTATAAGATGGCACTTTAAAAAAGATGTAAAAAAGATGTAGGAAAATGGCATGTGAGGCAGTGCACATTTCTTTGACAAATACAAATACGTGTTGCCAGTCACTACTTCTTATTTGTAGATAGTGGAAAATAGATAGTTCTAACAACATGAATGTATGAGTTTAGCAAGTGAACAATAAGGGTTGTAAATTTGAGTTTGTTTCTGCACATCCCAAGTTTCTGGGATAAGGACGAGTAACAGCAGAGATATCATAAAGTTTCCCCCTTATAATATGATGTTAAAGTTACAGTCATATGCTCCTAGGTAAGTGAGTGCGAGATTGTAACTTTAATCACATACACATATACATGTTTTTAATTCTTTTTTCTCCCCTTGATATTATTTTCATTTTAATTAAATTATTTGAGTCATAAACAATTAATGATTTGAGAAAAATATGACTTCAGGCTTTTTCCTATGTATATAAATAAGGGTTAGCTGGGAATGATTGAATTTGCTTCTTCAAAATATGTGATCACCAAAATAACATTTTTTTATAATAATAGTCTAACTATGGATATTTTTGCAGGTTATTTTTGAAGTTGCTTTTAGCAGTGCCAAAGGAGGATATCTGGCTCTTGATGACATTTCTTTCTCCCCAGTTTTCTGTAGCAATCAAACAGGTACAGGTTTCCCACCTTAAATTTATATTTTAAATGAACATGAATATGTTGCATAATACGCATTTTTCTTTGTCAAATAGTAATTTAATTGCTTTTACACATTAAGACAACCCAATATATGTTCAACATCAACAAGCATTGATAATATCCCTCTTACGATATAGTCGATTTAGGCAATATGGGTAGCATACAAGATAGACAAAAAGACAGCTAAACACTAGGACATCAATTGTTATTGAGTAAAAAGAGTTCTGCCCACATACAGGACTTTATCAATAAAAAGATGTTATGCACATATTTTCCCCATTACTGGTGAAAAACATAGGAAAGATCCATAAGAAAACAACATCCTATAAATAATGAGGGACAATCACACAACACAAGCATTACCTGAACAAATTATTGATGAACTTTTTTGAATGGATATAGCTACTCATAAACTGTATCTCTAGCCATCTGTATGTTGTAGTCTTCTTTGCAGTCTACAATTCTGTTTCAGTATACATACTTAGATTGTCGTAGGTTTAACGGACCTTTGTATGCCCCATCTTCTTACTGAAATTGAATTAAGATATTGAAGAAAGGTATATCTTTTAAAGCAAAATGACACAATTCACGAAGTGGAGCTCATTACAGTATAAACAGATGTACAATTCATAGTGTTTTCATCTCAGAAATTATGACTAAAATACTTTGCATCTGACAAATGATGAATAAAGATGTATTTCAGTAATGTTAAGTATATAAAAAATGAACAAGTTGTGCAGCACATGCATATGTTAAGATAAGTATCATTTTAAAAATTGCTTTTTCTAAACAATTGAATATTACTGGTGGAAATATTATTACTGAGGTAATAACAGATACTGATTATAGACTCATTGTACATCTTCCATAGTTATTATCTAACTTTTTATTTGATACAAATTATTTCCACTGGAGAATGCAAGTTACTTTAACTGAAAATAGAATTATCTGAGTCGTTTCCTTTTGTAGCCTTGTATTTATGTGTGACTATGTGGGTAGAAGGAAATCTTTTGGTTCTGTGGAATCCTTAATTCTCTTTTGGATATGTTTTATTCAGTGTTACTATCCATAACTGCTATTAATGGACAAACAGATTGATTCCTTCTTACTGATTTTGCTAGTATTTATCAGCTTACTCTTTCAAGTATGCAGTTTTAATGCTCTTCCATTTGATCTGTTATCCTTAGCCACTTCCTTCAGTCCCTTACAGGCAAGTTGCACTTTTGAGGAGAATTTTTGCCATTTTTATCAAGATTACAAGGATGGTTCTGGTTGGAGCAGGATAAAAGTGAAGCCTAATCCATATAGACCGGGTGACCACACTACTGGCACAGGTAAGTAAACATATTTATTGGAAGATACATAGGGTGGGTACATTAACTTCTTCAACATGCTGAATTCAATCCAAATCTCCTGAAGCTTTGAGGACATTTCAGCAATTTCTTGACAGGCGTGAGCTACTACAGGATGTGAAAAAAAATCTTGTTATGAGAGTCCCAAAGAAAGAGCCTTAAATAAAATACTTGAAGTGGGAATCCTGGGATTTATTCAGTTATTCTGCTTTGGTATAAGAATATGTATGTGACTTCAGATCATATGAAGAGATAAATGTAACTGTGCAAACATTATGAAACCTAGATCACCTAGTACCAGCTTCACATAAATTTAGATGAAGTATTATTTCAGAACTCTCTAAAACAAGATCTCAGTGTAAAGAGTTTTCACACATGGGGCTCCCCCCTCCTACTAGCAGTGATCAGATGCTAACAAATAGGGAAGGAGTGGTGGGGAGGGAATGATATAAGCCTGAGGTAAAAGTTCACTAGACAAAGAGCTACTGGCCAAACTGCAAAGTCCGATGTTCTGGTTCACCTCCAAAATAGCTTTTCTATTAAAAGAACAATTATGGTGAATTGCTTCATTTCAGATCAAGGCATTAATATGATAAATGACATAGCAGTATTATATGAAACAGGTTCAGCCAGACCCATATACATATATTGATATCTAGTTCTGTGCAAAAGTGATAAGTATGTCTGAAGATCTAAAAATGAATTTCCGAAAAAAGGGGGGGGGGTGTTTGTTTTTTAATGGTCTGCTCACTGTAAAATCCAGGCAGGAAAATTAAATTACAGGCAGTCCTTGACTAGCAGTCATTTATTTAGTGACTGTTTGAAGTTACAATGCCACTGGAAAAAGTGATTTATGATAGTTTTCACACTTATGACCATTATGCATCCCCATGGTGAAAAGGTAAAGGTTTCCCTCTTAGTCTAAATTCTGGGGCATCGTGCTCATCTCCATTTCTTGGCTAAGGGAGCCAGTGTTGTCAGAAGACAATTTCCATAGTCATGTGGCCAGCATGATTATAGCCAAAGGCGCATGTAACACTGTTACCTTCCCACCATAGTGGTACCTATTAATCTACTTGCATTTGGATGCTTTTGAACTGGGGACAGGTAATGAGGAGCTCACTCCATTGTGCGGAGTTTGAGTCTTGAATCTGGGCTGTCAGCTCTTCAGTTGACAAGCTCAGCATCTTTAAGCACTGAACCACCATTCCATGGTCACATGATAAAAATTTAGGCGCTTTGCAACTATCATGTACTTATGAAAGCTGCACTGTCCCCAGACATGTGATCACTGCTTGTAACCTTTTCAGCCAGCTTCCGACAAGCAAAGTCAATGGGGGGAAACCAGATTCAGTTAATGACTACATAATAACTGTAGTGATTCGTGTAACAATTGTGGCAAAAGATCATGGAATGGGACAACGATCACTTAATTGCTTTGCTTAGCAGCAAAAATGTTGGGCTCAATTGTGGTCATAAGATGAGGATGATTATCTGTATATGTAACCCAATTACCTAATTATCATTACTATAGTTAGGGTAAAATAGCTTTGGAACAAAATTAGACTTAAAAATTGGGTAAAAAATGTTTTCTTTTACTGTAAAGATAACGTATCAATCTCTGTAACAACTGGAAAATAGCAACTAAAAATATCCAAGCCTGGAAAGATTATTTAAGATATTTTTGTACGAAATAGCTCTTTAGAGACATGGTCTTACAGTATATAGCAGCCCTAGCTTGCAGGCATGCCAGTGGAAGTCCAATAAAATACCTAGAAATATCCCAGGAGGTGTAAATTGCTTGAAATGATTTAAACATTGCATTGCATTACAGGTTTCTATTTGCTGGCAAATACAAAGTTTACATCGCAACCTGGATATATTGGCCGCTTGTATAGTCCAACTCTGCCAGAAAACTTACAATATTGTCTGAGATTTTATTATGCTTTGTTTGGTTTTTTCAAAATGAGAGATTCCCTGGCTGTTTATATCTTTGAAGAAAACCATATTGTTCAAGAAAAAATCTGGTCTGTCTCAGAAATTCCCCAAAGAGTCTGGATTCAAGCTGAAATCCCCTTCAGAAAGCCCATGCCTTGCAAGGTAACCACCAACGTTTTTGGTCTCAGATACTGTTATTTTCAGATTCTCCTAAATGAGTCATAATGACTCCTCTGTGAAAAAAAAGGCAAAAGGATTTGTTCATCTTCTGTCTTTTCCAGGAAGAGACAGCAAAATTATCCTGACAGATGGGAATATGACCACAGATAGAAGAGCAGTCACTATATGGTTTGTGTGGCAGGAGGTGAAACAGAGAAAAAAGCAATTAAACAAAAATCCAAGTTTTAATTTCTATGGTGTTATCCATTTCTGGAAAGAAGAGTTGTAGCATTTTTGTTTAGATTTATTTAGTTAAATTAGAGCTTGAATCCTGCTAGCAGTTTGCATAACAAAAGTATCAGTGGAAATGCTGCACCCAGCCACTGAATAGTATGCAATACTAAAATCACATTATGATTATTTTTTGTGACATACCTATTCACACCAGGCGCATTTGAAACTTCTGTTGATTAACAAGACTGTATATAATTTGGGACCATGTATTATAAATGGAAAATTTGAAGCCACATGTAGCCACATATTACATTTACTTCACCTGAAGTTTAGTTCATATGCAAGTATGCCATTCATACTGAAAATATCAGTAGGTTTATGCCATTTTTAAACTGTACCAGAGAGAATCTTGTTTTAATCATTTTGACCCAAATGGAAAGCAAATTTAAAATATTAATGCCAATTGTGACAAATATATTAATAATGTGTTTTGTATGCATAGAGAGTAAAATGAATAGCTACTTCCATGGCTGTCAATATACTGTTTGCTTATATTATCTGGGAATATATATTCCGGATCAAAAGATTCTAAGTTTAGAATCTTTATAGCAGTCCATGGTATAGCAAACTACTGGTAGATCACAACCAGCATTTACTTCATCTTCCCTGCAACTGATTTTATGCAACTTTGATTTTTCCTTTCCAAGTGTCTATAGAAATAGTAAACACCCTCAGCAGCCAAGTTGAGTCTTGGCCATCCTTGAATGTCACAAAGCATAAGAGAATCAGATCTCTCCATTACTTCCTTTTACAGCTTCTCTAATTTAAAAATTTCAGCCATCAGAAACTCTTTTTGATAACATATTTTATTCTGGATTTTTCCTCAAATAAGAAATAAGAAATATTTAACATTTAGTCATTGTCATTTCAGCTGGAAAAGCTGTAAAGCATAATAATGAAAGACTTGGTTTCCAGGCATGAGTACATTTTGGAGTATCTATTTGAAATTAGCTCTCTAAGCCAATTACTGATACTACAATATTTTATAGAGAAGAAATTAGCCACTAACATTAATGAGCTACTTGAAAAACACTATTTTAGAATATTTGTCTGATTGCTTTGTGTAATTAAATAAAGTGCAATAAACTTAAAACAAAATATATAAAATTTATATTATTTATATTATTTTTTTATTATATTTCTCAGGTTGTAACAAGATCTTAGTATAAAAACACGCTCCTTACTATATTGTGCTTTTTCTAGAATTCAGGGATTTTTTTTCCCTAGAAACTATAAAGTATAAAAAGGACATTAAATCATTGAAATATTGAGTTGCTTATGAAATTTCAGCCATTGATAAAAGAGAATATTTGTAGCTTGGAGTTGAACTGTAGGCTCCTTGGTACTTTCTGTGCTTGGTGATTTTCTTGCAGGCATTTCATTACCAAACTAGTTAACTGATAAGTAAACTTAACTAGTTTAGTAATAAAATATCTGCAAGAAAACCAAGTTCAGAGAGTACCAAGGACCCTACATTTCAGCCATGTTTGAACAATGTTGCATTCTGCAGAAACAATAATATAATCACTAATAAAGTTGTGAATAATAATAAAGTTGAGACATCACCCTGCCAACAAAACTGCATATAATCAAGGCTGTGTTTTCCCAATTGCAATGTATGGCTGTGAAAGCTGGACCTTAAGAAAGGCTGAGCACCAAAGAATTGAGGCCTTTGAACTATGGTGCTGGAGAAGACTCCTGCGAGTCCCTTGGACTGCAAGGCATTCAAGTCCTAGAGGAGATCAACCCTGACTGCTCTTTGGAAGGCCAGATCCTGAAAATGAAACTCAAATACTTTAGCCACCTAATGAGAAGGAAGGACTCACTGGAGAAGAGCCTAAGGCTGGGAAAGATTGAGGGCAATAGAAGGGGATGACAGAGATAGCTGGATGGAGTCACTGAAGTAGTAGGCGTGACCTTAAATGGACTCCGGAGGATGGTAGAGGACAGGAAGGCCTGGAAGAATGTTGCCCATGGGGTCACGATGTGTCAGACATGACTTCGCAACTAACAACATAAGTTGTGAAACAATTTTACAAATTTTTGTAAAAGATCTTTAACATCATTTCTATGTACAGTTCTGGCTGGAAACCAATTTGTTTCCATAATGCTTTTAACCAGATAAATTTGCTATTGTAATTACTTTTAGTGGTGTTTTAACTCTATTTTAGACATTTCTTTGTAAGTTTTGGTTTGAGAGAGAGAGAGAGAGAGAAGAGGTAAATCTACGTATCATCTGCTATGGGGACGTTATGAGTACAACTCTTTCCTGAAGAAGCCCCTTCCTTAAGAAAAGCAGATTATCTAGTCTAGATCTCTACCAGTAAGGATTCGGCCCTGGTCATAGAATGGAATGGCATTGGTTCAGAGGTGGCATTCAGCAGGTTCTGACCAGTTCTGGAGAGCTGGTAGCAGAAATTTTGAGTAGTTCAGAAAACTGGCAAATACCACTTCTGACTGGAGATTTTACAGTATCCTTCCCTTGCCACACCCACCAAGCCACGCCCACAGAACCAGTAGTAAAAAAATTTAAATCCCACCACTGCATTGGTTACTCTGATTGAAGGTTATTATTGGACCTAGATGGTATCCTCCTGGCAATACTCAGAAAAATTCCGCTAGCTGCCATTTGAAAAAAAAATAAAAATCTACCATGGTCATGTAATGAAATGTTTTCAAGCAAACAACCAAGCTCAGAGAGTAGTATTGTGTTCCGTTGAAGAAAGTATCAAATGCCTGAATAATATTTCTACTTCAATTATTTATATACTTATTTCATCTACAGAACAAATATAATTTGAAACAATAACCTCAAATATAAATATTCATTTCTAAATTACATGTTTCAAGTTCTAGTAATTAGAATTAGCTAGGAATTTCTTAGCTGTTTCATTAATGAAAAATCTGAATAAGCCAAATTGCTGTTTAATTCAGATTTGTGCTAAAACGGAAGTAACCAGAAACACAGCAAGTTAGCAATCTTTTATACTTTCTTACTTATATTTTCTTTATATGTAACTGACAAAATGATGCAAGAAATACAAATTGGTGTGCTCCATGTGTTCAGAGCATTAGAGATTGTTTATAAATTAGTTATAGTAAGCAAAACATTTTTCCCACAAATATTGAGAAAATGTTAGCTTCAAGTTTTGTCTGTCTGTGATATGTACATAGATTGAGAACATTTCATTTGAGATCATGAGTAAAGTGAATGCATCCCCATATGTACTGACATCCTTTGAAGCAACTTTCAAAGGATGTAGAAGCAATTCAAGGAATATGTGTGCAAATATTTGATAGGCTTTATAAAGCATCTCTTTCAAATGCTTTATAGAATTCAACTGATTAAAAGAGCATTTTGGGGGAAATGGGCTTGAAAAAATTAAGATTGTATTTTTGTGCAAATTTCAGGTGGTGTTTCTGAGCTGGTGTAGAAACTTTTGGGATTGTGGAATAGTGGCACTAGATGATATATCAGTGAATTTGGGAAGCTGTCATAGTGCTGGTAAAATTAATTACATTTCAAATCCGTAGTATGTATATTTATTGAAATTGATGTATACCTTCTGATATTAGTCATCTGTTCTGTATTTCTAATCAAGGAAAGAAGCAACTTAGAACTAAGGAAAAATTTCCTGACAGTTAGAACAATTAATCAGTGGAACAACTTGCCTCCAGAAGTTGCAAATGCTCCAACACTGGATGTTTTAAAAAAGATGTTGGATAACCATTTATCTGAAATGATATAGCGTTTCCTGCCTAGGCAGGGGGTTGGACTAGAAGACCTCTACGGTCCCTTCCAACTCTGTTATTCTATTCTATTCTGTATACACACCATTCCATAGTGGATGGAGATATAATTTAAGTTTAAAAAAACTATATTTTTCTCCATTTTAATAATTAATAAATCATGAGTAAACTCAAGGGATTGCAGTGAAATTTGAATTAATTAAACCATGAATAGTTACATGGTTTTCTATTGGTAACTAGCTCTTATCTTAGCAATATCAAGCCAAATTGTAAAACATGCAACTAATTATATGTTATTACTTATAAAATCTATTTTAAATGAAAAATCATATTTACTTAGAAAAGTAATATCTGCCTGGAATTTTTTGAAAGCAGAAAATGTAATGTAGTTTGTTTGTTTTTTTTCTTAAAAATTGAGTAGAGGGACATCAAATTAACAAATTCAGATAGAAAAGCAGTTTCTATGCTGTAAGTCCAGTTGAATAAAACTGATAGCCTTATCCATACCAGGAGCTCTATGCAGGTCAATTATATATATTTAGATATACTTAAACATAACTGCATTTTACTGTATGTGTTTGGTAGATATACCACCTGATTTTCCTGGAGAATGTACCTTTGAAAAAAATGAGTGTGCATTTACTCTGCAACCAAGAAATCGGCATGGTTGGCATAGGAGGAGAAGTCCAACTCCTACATCTTACACTGGTCCAACAGGAGACCATACTACTGGGGTAGGTAAGTTATAGATTAAATGGTGATAAGTGACCTAAACAATATAATGGAATATCAAATAAGAATAGTTTTTATTCCAAGATAAATGAGAACACTTGATGCTTATTCTTTTCTATTAAACATATAGATCAGGATTTCCATGCTTAAAAAAAACCTATTCATTTTTTAAATGTTTATGCTAAAAAAATCTTATCCTGAACGTTCTTCAATAAATAAGACAATTGTTATGTATTTTTTTTCCAGACTTCTCTGATAATTTTGGGTAAGATTTGAGAGAAGTTAATTCATATTGGAAAAGATCAATAACTTCCAAGATAGACAAATCATTGAATAAATGTTGGAAATATGTGTACTTTTGAGGTGTAAAAAAACTCTCAAAGGTGATGGAAAGGAGTTTGTTGTTTCTGGTAAAATTCAGACATCTAAATCACTCTATATGAATTATAAAAACTCTTAAAATATACTTTCATATATTTTCTTTTTGAAGGACATTACATGTATATAGAAGCTTCTAATATGATCTATGGACAGAAGGCACAACTGATTTCAAGGTTATTACGAAAGACATTTGGACATCAGTGCCTTATATTTTTTTATCATATGTATGGACGTGGGACCGGACTGTTAAATGTTTATTTGAAAATGCATGGTTCTAAAAAGGAGATCCTCATCTGGAGAAGACGTGGTGAACAAAGCATCTCATGGTTAAGGGGCCTAATAGAATATACATGTGATAAATCTCATCAGGTAAGTTAACAATCCCTTTATATGAATCAGTATCTGTTTAATTTATGGCCCAATTTTTTTTCCAGTTGACAAGTTTGTTAAATGCTAGTAACAGTCATAAATTATCCAAGACCTGTAAGGAAAAAATGAAACTGAAGCATGCCAGTTTAAAATAGCACTGGATAGTCGTGAATTAATTGAGTCTAAACTGATGTATAAGCAACTAAAATAAGCCTGTCTCTCATTAAAAATAGTAGCTGTGTCAGATGTTATGCACAAAAATTCTCATGTATTTCCCCCCCTAAGGTTCTTATTTAATTTGATGGAGCATTTGCTTTAGAAATTATATTTAGAAGAAATTTGTGTAGATATTCTCATAGATGCTATATGATGTTTTTGCCCTTACTTAGGAAGGTGATACTGATGTTTGTGAAATACTCCACCCTTCACCATATAACCATTTTTCAAGCAGTCTAAAAATTATATACAAAAAAGGAGAAATTCTATAGATCATTTATCCTTTACACTTCACAAATCTAACAGTCTCTCTCCTCCCCCTCTATATACTCAATATATACTTTTTACACAATGCTAACATTAATAATACAATTAAATATACATAATCTTTGTCTTCAAACTTCTAACCTTAATATGCACATTGTACTTATAATGAATTATTTTATATATCAGTGTATATAATACTATTTTCCCACTTTGTACTCATTTCGCCCCCCTGCCCATTTGTTGGGGTTCTTCCACATCCACATCTTTGTCTTTAAACAATACCATTCTCTCCTTATTATTCTTTATCACTTTCTCCATAATTATATTTAAACATCAATAACATTTCTTCACACAATGTGTTTGTAGTCCTCCACTGAATCACTAATATTTTAATATTTTAAATATTACTCAATGTTCCACCATAATTCCAATATCTCAATTTTCTACAAACACCAATAAAACCAATTATTTAAAAATTTTAATCAGTCCAAGGATTATATTGCTAGGTCCCCTGAATTTATAGTCCTCAAAGGCTATAAGTTTCAATATATTTTTTACAGAGTTAACAATAATTTTTATTTCATTTTTATCCATCTACTCTCAAATCTAGCAAACAATTTCAATTGGCTACTTGCTCATAGTACTAACTATGTATCTCTCTATCCAGTTTTAGATAATTTAAATGTGTAGATCTAATGTTATAGAGTTTGAATTTCAGTTACATATAATAGTATGAAGGAAGAGATGCAGGAATATAAAGGTCAAAGCAACAGTTATACATTTATTTCAAAAAACAGCCAAATGTGGTTTAGTCCAAATCTGTGCTCATGAACCATCTTTCAACTACCCAGAATACATTTGAAGAAGGACACGAAGAGGGAAAGGAAATTTATTCTGTTGGAGGAAGAATATATTTTGATGCAATCAAAATTCTTGCTTCTAAAAGTAAATTCTTTCTAAAAAATATATGTAAAGGTTTGTTCTCAATCTGGAGTAGTGGCCTTCAGGCCTCTAAGTAAACATAAGGCTGGTGGAGCTTTTACATCCAACTAATGAAGGCACAGATAGAGGCTCTTCCAGTGAAGTTATTCCTTGCTGAATAAAGCAGAGATTACGAAGAATGTGGAAAATCATTGCTTTGGTGTATAAGATGACACTTCTGCCCTGAAACCTTGCCTCTGCTATCACGTGGCTTGCCAGGAAGATAAAGAACAACTTTCCCTTTCTCCTCTAATTAAAAATAAATGAAAACATGTGAGAAGAAACATTACATTTTTAAAGGAGAGATATTCATTTAATAGCTTTCTTCTACTTCATCCATTATGATTTTTTTTTAAATGCAGATTATATTTGAAGCAATTCGTGGAATATCAATAAGAAGTGACATTGCTATCGATGACATTTCATTTCAGAAAGGACCTTGTAAAGGTAAACTTAACTTGATTGAATTTGCCCTAGCATTTGAGTTACATTTGCTTCTTGCGAGTCTCATAATACTGCATGTATGCATGCACGCATGCATGCATACATATACATACATACATACATGTGTGTGTATATACATACACATACACACATAATAAAGTATACAATTTTAAAATGAGACAACTGTTCAAGTGTTTCTTTCTAGATTTGCAATTATTGTTATATTTATCAGAAGTCCCACAAAACCATTCTTGAGCTAAAGCTCTTTCATTACTTCTACTTTAATACTCATGAAAGAAAGGATAGTTAGGCTTCAGACTATCCTCCCTGTATCTTAGCACAGCTCAAAATGACTCAAATGTAAAGTAATATGCAGATGTTTCTAATATTCTTTTTGTCCTCTTAGAAATGGAAGAAACTATACTACAATCATCAGGATATTCTGCTGATTTCAATGAAATAGAGTACTGAAATCTGCAGAAGCCAATGGAATACCAGTGCCTTCTCTACAGTACAAACTGCACAAACTTCTCCCTACTATCAAATTTAAAGATAACTACTGGATTATTTTGTAAAAGACACAAAGGCACAGGAAGAGCTGAGGAAAGATTTAGTGCCTTGCTTATGAAATTTTTGACTCAGGGTTTCTCTCACTTTATTTTATGCATTTTTTTGCATGTGACATCAATTATTATAAGGAGCTATTGAATTTGTACCAAATTTGCAATAATCAATATAGATTTTTAAAGAAGAATTTTCAGCCATACAAATATATAAAGTAAAATGGACACAATTTGTCATTGTGTTTACAAAATCTGCATTCAATGAATGCCTTGTTGGCAAATAATGGATGTAATTAAAAATTCTGAAATAACAAAGAAATTTATAAACATTATTAACATTTTATATGTTGTTTGCAACTGTTTCTATTATTGTTTAGGAAGACTAATATCTGTTGGAACCTTTTTGGTTGTGCCAAATATCATGGAATCCTATGCATGTCCACTCAGAAATTCATGGCACTGAGCTCAGTGAAAGTGACTTCCAGATGATGTGCCTAGTTTTGCAATTTAAGGATCTCACCAATAAGATATTTTATTATTGTACTGTTTTTTTGCTAATAATTGTCATAATGAATTTGTTTATCCAGGCTGCAGCTGACAGATAAAATCTATGTAAGTGTTCTATAAAATATAATACAGTACACCAATATTGAACAACATATATATGAGGAAACTGTTTGGAATGCAATTTTATTTTTTAATATATTAATGGTTTGATAGACTTGTCAAGAATGACTTTAAGTTACATTTATCCACAAATTATATTCCTGTTTGAAACAAACGATACCCATTTGAATGTTGAGTGTGTGATAGGCATAGAGGGACATGCATTTCATATATGTATATGTGTGAACAAATGCTTTTTCTATAATTTTAATTGAACTAATAAAATGTGTTTTTAATTCACTTTAAATCCACCTGTGGCCAGAAATGTACTATTTTTTAAAATAAAGTTGATGTTTTTTCCACAATCGTCCAACAGTGGAAACTGCCAGACCAGACTGCTTCAATTAGCTAGCTATGAAATGTATTTGAAAAAAAATATGGTCTGTAATATAACATAACTTGCCAATTGCTGTAATAAACAATTCTGTTAATATTATGTACCTGGCTTTCTGTTGCTATTCATATGAAATCCAGACTAAAGTATTTCTTAATTTACAGCCACAATTGGGACTAGAATCTCAGTCATTAAGTAAAGAAATAGTTAAGCAAAATACCTACATAATCACTTTGCCCAATGGTCACAATACTGGCTTTCATAGTAGCGGCGGTTAAGTAATAATTTGATGGAACATTAAGTAGAGCATGCAGTACCTTGTGGTGTGGGAGGCTTGGGGAGCTTGGTGCCCAGAGGTGTGTGGAAACCTGTTGCAGGATGGGAGGTCTAGGCCTTTTCCCCGTATCTAACGCTGAATTGCCTGAGCCCTTCCCCACCCACTGTGCCTGGGTCTACTTATCTTTGTGTCGTTTTTCTGACAGGCATGCCCAGCTGATAGAAGGTGTGGCCTTCTACGGAGATCACCTCATTTCGTTCAGCAAATGGGCCCAATTCTCACAACTGTTCAGACGCTCCTTCTCCAAATTGTGCGATTTGGAGAAGGGGCCTTTCAAATGATTGCAAGAATGATCTGTATATTATCTGTATAACATCTTCCTAGGAATGTAAGCCTGCCTGAGCTTTGCTCATTAGGCTGTTGAATGAGTGTCATGTCAAGTATAGTAAAACCTTTGGTCATGAACGCTTCTGACAACAACCAAATTGGGTTCCAACCAAAACATTCACAAAGTTTTTGAATCTGGTCACAAACACATACTCGGGTGGTGATCAAACATGAACCCTGACCCAGAAATTCCTGAAGGTGAAACATTAGAAGATGAAAAAATTGCAAAGTTATGGAACAAATTATGGTCATGACCAGAGGTTCTACTGTACTGGGATTATTACACTAACATCTAACATTTCCTCCATCTTTTTCAAAATCTCTAGAATTTTTCTAAAATCTCCCATAATTCTTTGGAATCTGCAATCTACATAAAGTCCATAGAAAAGAATACAGTGTGCCTGTACCATGCATCCAAGCAGTGAATTAACATTATTGGATGCAAAACCTAGATCTTTTATATCCAATTCAGATAGATATCCATTTACCTATTGTTTTGTTTCACAAAATATTGTTAGTACAGTAGTTTTATTAATATCTTTCACTGCAGTGTTTTTAATAATTTTATTTTATGCATTACACATTTAAATAGAATTACATTTTTTACATCATTTATTACTGGCTGTCAGTATTTTTTTGGTCAAAAATAGGAAGTAAATAGTTAATTGTTGATACATTTCTTTCTTGCCTGTGATATTCTCCTGACATCTAGTGGAGATTTCAAAAATAACACCCTCTAGTTTAATAAATTATGAACTTGCAAAAATCCTGTATGTTCTGATTTTTGAAAAGAATAGCGAGTGAACCGTGTCCAGGGGTGAGATTCTACCAGTTCGCACCTATTCGCTAGAACCGGTTGTTAACATTCTAAGCAGTTCAGAAAACGGGTTGTTAGAAGAAATTACTGGCCTAATCCTGTAAGGAAGGCAGGAAGGAAACATTCTGGTGTTGTTTACAGAAACTGCCTTTCCATTAAACCTTATTACATTCTTGGCAGGACTAGACTTCCTGTCTTAGGAACTTCTCTGGAGTTTTTTTCCCCTCCTTTGCTGGGACTTTGCTTATGTGGAGTGACCATTCAAAGTTACAATGGCACTGAAAAAAGTGACTTATGACCATTTTTCACACTTATGACTGTTGCAACATCCCCACAGTCATGAGAGGCCTGGTGAGGAGATGTGTGCCTTGATGTGAGTGATATTGGCCACACCCAGCCAATAATATGACCAAGCCATGTCCACCCAGTCACATGACCACCTAAGCCCCGCCCACCACCTAAGCCACGCCCACAGAACTGGTTGTTAAAAAATTTGAATCCTACCCAGCAGTGTCTATTTGCTATAGTGTAGCGCATGCGCATGTACACACACACACACACACACACAGAGGCGGAGGGGTATATAATGGATCATATACATGTGGATCAGTACTTTGTTTTAGTCCATGACTATAATAAAGATTGAACTGAATTGGATCAGTACCATCTGTGATAACAGTGAAAAATGCAAGTCTCATCCTTTCCACATTATACATATAAAAGGGCAGAGCTTGCATCATAGTGTGATATCTGTCATCTTGCCCATTTTTACACTTTTATGAATACTGTACCATTGGTTTTAGCAAATTTCCTGTTAAGTGCCACATCCTAGTCATTTCAGAATCTAAATTTATCCTAAGGCACCATAACAGAAAAGACATTAGATATTGGTTCAACTAAAGAGATCTGGAGCATTCTCATTCTGTCTGACCCTAGGTTGGCAGAGTGGATGGGCTCCTTCAATTAATCAATGTGATCTATCAGAACTTAGAAATTTACTTCTGTTACAGCATCTGTAAGCTAGAAAAGACATCTTTCCAACTTATCGTGATGCTGTTTTCAAAATCATTGAAAACTTGGCTCTGGTCCCAGGTTTGGAGGTAGGAAGGCTGTTTATCCCATTGTTTTTCTCTTGGGGTGTTTTTGGGGTGTTGTGTTCCCTTTCAGAGGTTGAGAAACTCTCATGATCTTTATTTTTATTCCTTTTATTATGTAAGAGTTGTCTGGAGTCAAATGGCCTCAGCATTCCACTAATTAAGTGAATTTATAAGAGCTAGATTCCTTTTTCTGTGTAGTGCTTTCCTCTTGCTGCACACAAATAAATGTGGCTATTGAAGTAATGGAAAGCACCGATTAATAGAATTAAGTGATTTATAAACAAAAGTATGTAAGGGTATATGCCAAAAATAATTCACTTTTATCACTAACCTTTGAAGATTTCCAGTATCTTCCTTGGAGCCCATTCAATCCAGATAGACATAACATCATTAACTCAAACAAAAATGGGCAAAGATAGAAGCAAAATAAACTCCATGATGAAGATAGGAGCTTACTAATATTTTTCATTCCTTTCTGCCTTAGTATGCTTATAGGACTGACTACAATCAAGGCATTGTTATTATTCTTACTAGAATTTAAGCTTAACGGCACCTGAAAAACTAAGGCTAGTTTTAATCGTGACTTGCAACCTCCACTCTGAAGTAAGATAAGCACATGTGCAGGGAAATAAAGGAAGTGAACTGAACTTTTGATAGGGAAAAAAGGAGAGGGAGCAAAAAGCCATTTTTTCTACCATGATTTTTACTCCCTTTTTTTCCTATCAAAAGATCGATTCACCTTTCTTATCTTCCCGCACATGATCTTGTCTCATGTTGGCTGGAGAATTCTGGGATTTCAAATTCATAAGTCTTAAAAAGTTGCCAAAGTTGGAAACCTCTGGTCTAAATATTTTAGAATATAATTCCAATTAACCAGTGCCACAGTAGTTTACACATCAGTAGGACATGAAGCTGGGGAAAAACAATGCACTTTCCTATGGAAAGCCAAGCTGCCTGAACTTATCCTTAAGCTGTCTCAGAGAATAAAAAAAACAAAAGCAAAGAAGTCCTTGGATAGATAAGGATCACATAAATGTCATGTGATGCTTGTGTTCAAACCCAACCTCTGCCGTAGTTACTTTTTATTTTTTATTTTTTTTATTTTATTTTATTTTTTATTTTATTTGTCAATTGTTTACAAGATAATAAGTATAAGTGTATACATAGTTATGAATACATGAAATGGGTACATATAAGAAAAATAAAAGAAAAATAAAAGAAACAATAGGACAGGGACGGTAGGCACGTTGGTGCACTTATGCACGCCCCCTACAGACCTCTTAGGAAAGGGGTGAGGTCAATAGTAGACAGTCTAAGGTTAAAGTTTTTGGGGTTTGGGGAAGAAACTACAGAGTCAGGTAGAGTATTCCAGACATTGATCACTCTGTTGCTAAAGTCGTATTTCCTGCAATCAAGCTTAGTGCGGTTAACCTTGAGTTTGTATCTGCTGTGTGCTCTTGTGTTGTTATGGTTGAAGCTGAAGTATTCATTGACA